CATTTAACTTCTAACAATAGAAATGTAGACATGAAAATTTTCCGAATAAATTCTTTTAATTAATTATCATAACAAAACATTGATTCATTTGATAATTTGATACTTAAATTAGTATTAATAAAATATTAAATGAATATTTTAATTAACTTAAAAGAGACTTTAACAAGTTATTAAGTATAAAATGAGCGGTGAGTATAAAATAACTTTTTTCATTTCATTGTAATATAGTTTGAAACTATACTACAATCAATCGTTTTAGGATGCTAAAGAATATTCCAATAATTAATAATTGCTTTAGAATTAGTTTATGATAAGTTACAAATGATTTCTCTTAGAAAGATCGAGTTCGGAAAGGAATAATTGTTAGGACTACAAACTTCCTTACGCCTGTTATTCCTCGTGGAGAAGCATGCGCCGCCCATCAGTACACTCCATCCAACCATGTTCCGGGAAATCCTTTCCAGTTCTTACCATTTTTTGTATATTCTTTTCATATCTGCTTTTATTTCACGACGTAATGTGGTCCTTGGCCATCCTTTTTCCCGTTTCCTTTCAGGATTCCACGTGCAGTTTGATGATTTCCGTAATTTATGTCCTGTCCACTTCTAACATCTTTCCTTTATTTCCTATGCATCTAGAAGCTGGTTCGTTCTCTCATACAGTAGGATGTTGCTGATGGTATCCGAACAACGGACATCCAGTTTCTTACACAAACAATTGTTCATAAATACTTGTACATTTTGGATGATGGTTGTGGTAGTCCTTCAATTTTCAGCTCCGTACAGTAGAACTGTCTTGATCTTCGTATTGAAGATTATCACTTTGATATTGGTTGGTAGTTGTTTTTAGTTCCATATGTTCTTCAACTGTAGGAATGCTGTTCTTGCTTTGCTAAATCTCTCCTTTATGTCTGCATTGGATCCTCCTTGTTCATAGATGATGATACCCAGGTACGTGAAATTTTCCATCTCTTCCAGAGTTTCTCCATCACGTGTGATTACGTTGATTTTTCCGTGTTGTAATTGAAGATCTTGCTTTTTCACTTGTGTATGTTGAGGCCTACTGATGTAGAGGCTGCTGATACAATGGTTGTCTTCACCTGCATTTGTTGTGTATGGGATAGAAGGGCCAGGTCATCCGCGAAGTCCAAATCGTCTGATTGATTCTGAGCTGTTCATTGTATTCCGAGCTTTACCTCATTTGTTGAGGTCTTCATAATCCAGCCGACCACCAGAAGAAAGAGGAAGGGGAAGAGTAAGCAGCCTTGTCTGACTTCGGTTCTTAATTGGAGTGCATCTACCAACTGTCCTCCATGCATGACTTTGCACTGTAGTCCGTAGTATTAATTCCGTTTGAACTTAACAATCTCAGGTACACCATAGTGTCGAAGACGTTCCCATGATGCTATCCTAACCACAATGTCAAGCACCTCATAGTCAAGGAAGGTGATGTATAGTGACGAATTACAAACAACTGATTGTTCAACGATTATCCGTAGTGTCGCGATTTGGTCCGCACCCGACCGATTATTGCGGAATCCAGCCTGTTGATCTCGAAGTTGGGCATCTACTATATATTCCATCTGGTTCAGCAATACTCTATTGAAAACTCTTCCTGGTACCGACAGTAGTGTGATACCTCTGTAGTTTTTACATTTGCACAATCTTTCTTTGGTACATCGATGATGTATTCTTCTTTCCAGTCCATCGGCACTTGTTCTTCCTATCAAATCTTTCTGAAGCATACTTGTAGTTACTACTATATCTGACTTCTATTTTTCAGCTGGCATATTGTCAAGTCTTGCTGCTTTCCCAATTTCATTTGTCTGATGGTCGTCCTGATTTCTTCGATCTTTGGTGGAGTGTCATCTATAGCAAGGTTTTAGTTACTGCTTTGATGTCCGATGGATACAGTGCAACTAGTCTATTTAAGAGTTCCTCAATGTGTTTCACTCCTGTCCCTGTTTTTGAGTCTCAGTGATTGGCTTATTTTGTTTGCACTTGACTGGTTTCTCTGGTTTACCATATTTCCCTGACGGTTTCTTCGTTGTCATGAAGTTGTCTCATATTTCGTTCTCTTGCAGCTTTTCCCGCTGTCGATCCTAGATCTCCCACGTATTTATACCTGTCGGCTCTAATGCTTTACTTCACTTGAGTGTTTGCTCCTGTGTAATTAGCCTGTACCTTCACTTTCTCTGTTCTTGTTCGGCTGTTGCTAATTGCTGTCTTCTTGTTATTCCTTTCTTCAATCTTAGCCAGGGTTCCCATAGCGATCCATTCCTTATGTTGATGATGCTTCTTGAAGCCTAGAACCTCCTGATACGTTGAAGTTAGTGCTCCTTTGAATTGTTTCCAGTTGTCCTCCATAGTAGTTTCTTCTTCTTTAGTAGATCTTGTAGGGCTTGGGACATGTTGCTGAAAACTCTCCTGAATTCGTTGAGTTTGTCAGTATTTCATAGGAAGGCAGTATTGAACCTTTGTACTGCTGTTTCCCAAGCTGTCCAATGTTTCTCTAGCTTCAATTTCATCTTGACAACCACCAGGTGATGAGCTGAAGTGATGTCTGCTCCTCTCTTGGTTTTCACATCCTCCATTGGCCGTCTGAATTTTTATCGGTGTAAATATGGTCGATCTGGTTGGCTGTAATGTGGTCCAGTGATACCTATATAGCTTTGTTTATGCGTTTGTGAAGGAATATTGTGCCACCTGTAACCAATTTGTAGAATGCACATAGATTTGCCAACCTCTCACCATTTTCCTAGTCTATGTCGCCACATGACATCCTCATATTTAGTGTTGTCCATTCCGACTTTAGCGTTTAGATCTCTCATCAGGATGATCAGATCTTTTCATGGGGACTTTACTCTGATTAATTTAAGCTTATCATAGAGCTGATCTGTATCGTTGTCATTGCTATTGTTGGTGGGTGCATAATGTCAAATAATATTCAGTGACTCCCTCCTTTGTTTTGAAAGACTTTTTGGTAATTCTGGGTCCATGAAATTCCTATTCTATAAATGCTTCCTTGGATAGCATCAGAGAAACTCCCTGCGTGTGCAAAGCATTTTCTTCTTCATCACCAGAGTACAACGGCATCTCTCCTTAACCTATTTTTCTTGTCCAGCTTGAGTTCAATGGGTTTCACTTATCCCGACCTATGCCAAGTGGTATCTCCTCATTTCCGTTGCTATTTAACTGAACCTTCCGGTCTTCCACATTATGCAGACACGCCATGAGCCTATATTATTATACTATTATTGTACTGTATTTATTGTTGCTCTGGCTGTTAGAAAAAGTATCGGCCTCGTGAATTCCGAAGAATATTGACTTTTACCATGAGGCGTCGTAATTCTTCTAAATAATGATCCCTCAATTCAGAGGGCAAAGTTGAAACGGTTTGACTTGTTTGTTCTGGTTAACGTTTTTTAACAAAACTGTTTTCTATGGGACTGCGTTATTGACCCCACGCCCAACCCTCCTCTTTTACTCGGGTTTCGGACTGGCAGTTACCCTAGAAGAGCTACAGGAGTATAGAAATGCAAAACTCGTAGCATATCGATATATTCTTCAAAGCAAGCCAACAACAGATAAACTAATAATGATACCCCTTATTTTATCGAGAGTTTTTAGATCTTTTGTTAGTTTCATATGCTATTAAAACCCTAGATTAAAATAATTCTCAACAATAATTGGTAATATCCTATAGAGTCAGGCCGGTTTCAACTAACTCGTGGGAGACATCAAAATATTTTGGGCGATTCATTTCAAATTTGCTTAAATTTTTTTGCATTCGGTTTTAAAAGCCACTGTAAAAGAAATGGAAAAGCGCTACTGAATTTCTTTGCTTTGGGAAATCAGCGTTTCAATATTTTTCTTCGACATTCATCTCGTATTCATTTTCTTAATTATTACTTGAAGCTATTGAATAAATGCGTGTATCTAGCGTAATATTCTTAATTTTAAGTTGTCATTACTTTCAAGTTATAATATTGATTACAGTTTAAGAAGCGTAGTGGTGTACTGAAACTAAAAAACATTCGCGACAGATTATTTTCTGATGTTTTCAACTGGTCTTCCTTTATTTGATTTATTTACATTAGATGTAATTAATTTTTGGTTGGTTAATAACTAAATGTTCATCTTCAATGCCACACCCATTTTGCTGAATTGCTTGCCTCTCTTATAGCTTGAACTATTGTTGTACAGATAATTTTGTAAAGGTCATCACAATAAATAACCTTTTTCTAACTTCTTCGTTGAAATATCCTCTGTTGAGCAAACCCCTGCCTAACAATAATTAACGAAAAAACACCTGCTTAACTCTAGTTAATAAAATATGTAAATATCAAAATTAGTAAATATGAAATAATTGGATAGTCATCACTTCATGTAGGGCAGTAGTGTATACAGGATTAATAAACATAAAATGAATGGTTTAAAAGAAGGGATGTAAAAAACTTACGGGAAGAAAGGTAAATCTTCAAACTACTTCACTGTCGTGCTAAGAATGACACCATGTCTAATAAACTCTGTCCGAATAAATATTTAACAATCCGTTTTATCAATATTTATTATTTGGTTGCATTAAACCTCTTCTCAAACAAATATATTGTAATAAGACTTCAACAAGAGTAATTACTTTTAAATAGAGTGGTACTATTAAAATAATTCATTGCTCATTATAAGTAATTATTATTGTACGTAATAAGAAATACAGTACAAATTAAAAGTGAATTAAGTATAATCAACCGTTAAATATAATCAATATCAGTTCACATATAGACGTTTTTACTACATTATTTCTTCTCAGTTCAAAAAATGTACACAAATACCAAGCTTCATAAATACATCACGTTCTATCAGTTAAAGTTGACAAATATTTATCAGTGTAGTTTTATCAACGCTGGTAACAATGAAAGTACCAGTATGCACAAGTAAAGGGTATAGAATAAAATAAACGAATATATATATATATATATATATATATATATATATATATATAGAGAGAGAGAGAGAGAGAGAGAGAGAAAAGAAACTAAAAACATAACAGTTCTTCAAGAAAGAAAAAGAAAATTCATCTATTTACATATCACTTGCATGTAGATGAATATAATTAGAGACTAGTGAAGAAACAAATTTAAAGTTAAGTGATGTACAGTGTTTACAATTTTATAGTTAAGTTGAAAAAAGGTGTACTCATTTACGTACACAAACGTGAGAAGGTACCTTAAAATTGGTTAACTGCTAAGCAATTACTATGGCGATGCTGAAATGACATTGACAAGAATTCTGAAGAATAAATTTATTTCATCACACCATTAATAGAAAGTTTATAATGGTTTAATTGTAAGATTCGACGTTCCGCTATGATAACACGGTAGAACAAAACTAAATTCATTGTTGTAAATACTGTGAAACTCGAAAGTAGAATCCAACTAACAACAACTGGTAACTTGTGCCTGTTAATAATTCCCCATCCAAATAACGACAGTGTAAGACATATACGAAAGATGATAAATGTAACTATTTAGAAAAAGAATAATAAAAAGAAATGGGGATTCTTATTCAAACATAAACAAGTTGATTTATTTCATGTTATAACATTTCAAGTGGAGTAATTTCACGAAATCCACTGAATGGTCATACACATTCTGAGTTGATCCATATCATATTGATAAGTACGTAAGTCATCAAAAGTGTATTCAGCAAATTTCAGTTAAAAGAGACAAAAATATGTCATTTATTTGGCAAAACTTACATTTCACCTTTGTAAGTAAAAGATATAATCACATTTGCAAGTGATATTTAAAAGTAGGGGATAGTCGGGAAAATAAAACTATAAAATAACAAAACGGATGACAAAACTTAATTTTAGATCTCTTCATTGTTTCCTAACAAGCTCATAAGCAGGTAGGCAGTTATTACGATTGATTGTTTGCTAGTAATGTTATTTCAATAGAGCTTCATATATATCAGGTGACAAAATGTAAATTTTGCAAACTGAAATTACTAACAGTTTTACTGTATAGGTTAGCTAATGCATTTTACATAAGTGTAAAATCTAAATGATAAACGAGTGAACAAGTCAAGTTTGCAAAATATATAAAAAATTTTTAAAAGGGATCACTAATTTTACTCCAGTTATCTATTATTCTCATGATCGCTGCTTTCTTACATCTATATTTGCTAAATTTTCAAAAATAAATACAAATCTATTTATTCACTAAAATAAGCGCATAATTTTCTGACAGTTGAACGGAATTCTCAGGAGTGTAATATATCATGAGGGATACTTTTGCGAAAAAAGCAACAATATTGATGGAACAATGCGTTTAAATAAGTCAACTAGGTTTCAAAAGTTATGCATTAACAGTCTAGTTAAACCTCTTAGGACAGATCGAAAAAAAGTGGCATTTATTCATGAAGTAACTATTTTAGAGAGCAAATGGATGCTTGATATGTAATTATGATTGAAATGAAAAGATGAAGTGTGTAACAAATTGTATTTCTCACAGCAATAAGAGCCACTTAAAGGGTACTAGATATCACGAAAAAATTGCCATTCTTCAGTATGAAATGTACTTTTTTATTTTTCAGAAATATTTTCATTTAAAAAGTGAAAGATTTGCTTATGTGATTAATAGTCAACAGTAACAGAACTAATGAGTATAAATACTCGTTGACTACTTTCGAAAGCTAAAACGTATGTAAACTGAGTTATTAAACCTCGTTATCTAGTTTATTGATTGTATACCAAGTCTTGATTACTCGAGTTTAACTAATTTTAATTAATTAAATATCAATTTGTTGTATATGGGTATAGCTTATAAGCTTGGGACATATACAGTATTGGATTCGTTGACATGATAATATTTATAAGCCACACATGTGGTTCTAATTTTGACTGTGTGTGATCACGAATGTTGTTCGTTTTCATTGTAAATACATGTTAAATTTGAAATATATATTTCTGTTGGGAACGATTTCTGACAAATACTACGAGAATGATATCAATAAATCAATCTATAAGAACAACTCATGATGTCTTTGAATTAAATTGAATACACGTACAAGAATACAAACCGATAGGATTTCTCGGCTTGACTAGGTTGAAACACACCATTTGAGGTACTATCGTGAGATGTGGGTTGGTTAGATAGTGGTAAGATCGAAAGTGGCAAATTCAAAGTCCGAGGGCTAAGCTGTACTTCTAGAAACAATAAGTTGTAATGATGGAAAAATATTTATTACAGTTAACTAGCACTTGTAGTGACCTAGTCCTTTCACAAAAAATGATCAAAGATGACTTTTCTATGCATGTACCACAACTTCATTAGCTTAATCAACAAGTTAAAATATGTACTGAAGTAAAATAATTCAGTAACATCTTTCGGTAACCACGGAAAATGCTATTTATTTGTAGTTAATTCAAGGATTACAAGTGTTACTTAAAAATAAAATCACTTACTCATTAGAAAAAACTTTACAGATATTATGTCCAATATTTTAGGTGGATAGTGTTTCAAGCGGTTGATGCTTTGAATCGCTAACCACTTATTAAGCTTCATTAGGTATACAGAAACAAAACAGATGGCATGATAGGTTAAAATGTGACAAGCGCAAATAGAATGGTGCAACAGTAGTGTGCAAAAATCTCAGTGCTAAAACAATTTTCTGGTTTCCAAAAGATGATACAACAGATGTCTACTGACTTAAACTGATAAAACTGGGCATTTTTAGATAGCTAAATCTAGTTTATTTATCAGTATATTAGATAAGCAAATGAATATCCGTGAACTACATCTTAGTATTTACAACAAAGTAGGTAGTTTGTGAACTATTTCCAACTCACTAGTTCGAGTAGGTTAAGAAGTCGTAATTTGTAGGCTTTACAAAAATCCTACACGTGTATAAGCTTTTACGAATTATATGTACGTAAAACTAAGTATCATGACAAATGATTCCGAAAACAAACCCATACAAAGATCACGAGATATTGACAATTGATTTGTCAATCCTGATGACGACTGATAAGTGTCACTAAGATGCGCCAAAAACAGTAGGTACGCTAATCGTTCTTTAAAAGCACCTTTTATAAGTACAATTTTTCCCATCGGGACTTCCTTTACACTAAAAAACTTTCGAATATTTGGAAGGCTAGGGTTATACTGAGATAACTTGCATAAAATGTATGCACCTTTTAAACCACCAAATAAAAACAATGAAAACTATAAAAGGAAACGCGATGACTTACTGATATTTGCAATAGCATTAAGGCGGTATGTTAGTGATTCAGGGTCGGTGTTAAGCAATATCATTAACTTTCTTGCGTGAAGAAATATGCTGTTCAGTTCCATCAAAAGCCCAAACAATGCGTAACAAACAAGAATTCTATACCAAGATACAACGTAAAAGCAGGTTAAAACCTAAGTTAAAAGCTGATGAAAACTTAAGGGCAAAAGGCTACTGTAATGTGATGCAATATTATCTCCAACGATCTTAGTCCAACACCGCCACATATATTATGATAAATGTCGTGAACAAAATAACCTGGTAGAATAGAATGATGATGAATCTAGCATACCTGTCGCGAAACCCAAAATATGATAAGCGAAAACGTTCTCTGAATCTATGACATTACCGACTAGGTCAGGATAAGCAATAAGGCTGAAATAAATATTCTGTCAACCGAAACTCACCAAATAAGCGAACTTAGTCCGGATATAAAAGCGTGGATTATGGAGATGGAGTAATTTCTTAGTCTTATGAACAAGTAAGTGTTTCTCGTGGTTTTATTGCTCGATTGACATGTTTGAAGGACATAGTCAATCATGTAAAACAGTAGAAATGCAGATACAGAAGTAGCGTGACTATTACTGAGGTCTATGTCGGCATTCAAAACGCGACCATACAAGGTCATATTTATTGATCCGCTGCTCTTCAAGTATCCTTTGATGACTCACTTAAACAAGATTACAATGTAATAAGTAATATGTCATTTTAACTCAATAGTTACGGAAGCACTGATTCACCGAAAAAAACGCACGAAGACAGTTTAAATAACGGAAGGTTATTTGATCTGATAATCAATAATATTGACCATTCAGCTCTTCATAACAGAGAGTGTACACAATCTTTTCAAAATCAGTCAAAACTTCACTGGAGTAATATAGAGAATCTAACATAAAATGTATGGACTACGTCCTACACCATACAAAAGACTATCATTTCCAAAATAGGCTTGTTTTTAATTATCGACTATTTGTATTATTAAATGTCCCCTGATATATCATATTAAGGCCCACCTCATCAAATTGAGCAGATATTCTTAAAGCTTGTGAATTTGTTTATAACCTTATATAGTATGTCACTGTCGGTACAATTGTTTCCCGACACTCGTAGAATAATAAGTAAGGTGCCTTCGATTTTTAGACGAAAGCTGTTTGCACGCCTATATGTACATGAAAGGATAGCAAAACTTGAAAGTCACACTCAATTTAGTTCAGCATGAAACTGAAAACTCAAAACACCTCAACAGTTCGGTTCGCACTGTACAGTTAAAAATTTTCTCATAAAAACATTGTACCATACGCCAAGGAAGTAATAAGTACCGAGGAATCAAATAGGATCTACTATATATCAAACTGGTAGTTTTTAAGTTTTGCGTTTATTGACGTCCGAAGTGATGGTGTCAGGGTTTGCAATTGCACTACTTTTAGTGCTATCAAGGAAATCCAACTCTCGGTTTCTCTATATCCTCCCTCACCTTCATTAAGTACATGAAAAACTTATATGACTTGTAACACCATAATATATCTTGGCTATTATGGGACTGTGGTTAAATGAAGTCTCAGGTCATCTCTGTTGATGGTGAGTCTACTTGATTTAAATGACGACGAGGTCCGCTGACACTGTCGTGGTATACAAGTTGTGGATCTAACTTAATAACGGCATAAAATAAATAAAACATAATAAAAGTAATGTATTATATGGAATGACAATAGAGGTAGATGATGCAAACAAGGCTGTATGCGGTTGACGCTCAGGAAATTACAAGGAATTTATTAAATATTGCGCATAGAATGGCCAATACTTTGTACATATTACTATATACTTGGAGAGTTAGATAAAGATCGTCTTGTTTAATAAAGTAATATTTATAAATATTTGCTGAATGTCGTGGAGGCCATCTTAAGTTCGAAAGATAGTTGTTTCATTTAATATCAAATTACCTTATACTTTTTCATGGCACATTCGGTTTAAAACACATGAAAGTTCAAATGGTGGCGTTTGAAGAGCATGCTAGCACCTGCGTAATTCTAGCCGTTGCAGACATATGCTTCCTTATTTATTATTTGTTAAACTTTATTATCTCCTTTCTTTGATTCATATCATATGGAATCCAGTAAATAGTTTTGCATGTTGTCGACTTTGATGATGACCTCGTTAGTTTTGCTGGACACACGCTAGCTAGAAACGCTCCATCGCACACCAGGACCGTATCACCGTTGTATCTGCTGAACCTTGCATCTATAGCAACAACTGGCTAGGTTACACCAAGATATACATAGCTTTCCAAATGTCTCATCGAATCTCTCTAATTACAACTTCTGATTTGGCTAAGTTCGTATACTTTGATTAATTTGGTTTTACGTGTAAAGACGTTGTCAGACTCCGAATGCCTGTGGCAGTTTCTAATAATATAGTTTTTAGAGTGAAGTAAATTGGATAAGACAAAATGGATTACCGCATAGTACGATATGCAACTAACGGCACCCGTCAGTGTAAAATTTTGAAACATCAGAAATGATTGTGTAAGAATAAAAAATGTGCAGAAAAATTGTGCATTTGTAGTCATTATCGCTGGCTGTGATATCAGTGTGATTCAGCCAACTGGTAAAGAGTCAAGTTATGCTACGTTCAATCGTTGCGTGCCACAGCTCTGATCGAACAGGAAATCTTCGACTCCTTTAGGTTTATTGGGTCTCCATCATCCTTCTCGAAAGCCATAGCGATAATGATGTCAATCATCATTTTCTTTTATCTCAAAATTTCTGTTTTTCAGCCTTCTCAGCATCTCTTACAGTTGCTTTGTTTGTGTAACAACTGAATTATACACCTTCCATTTTCAGTTCTCATTTCATTGGAAAACACGACCCATCGCCATGAAATCGCAAACCGTGTGAGAGAATTAGGATCAATCAACAATAATCTTACAATACACATAATCTTATATAGTTAACCAGATTTTGTTTGTATTAACTACTGCGAATGATAGTTTTCACTTTATGTTGCGAGATTTGGATTATGCTACATGATGCTGTGAACATATTTTTAATGACATAAACGTTGATGAGCAATCTCCATGTTGTTGCCAGACTTCGTCCCTCAACTTTTCAGTATGTTTTCCTGTTTTGAAATGAATTATAGTCCTAATTTTTATGATATTACTCTTCATACCTGACCATTTCAAATTGTTGTCGACGGAATAGAAGAAGCTTTCTCCAGGAGAAACCTAGGTATATTGACGATTACAGAGAAAAAAATTGGTAGATGATTATAAGATTTTTTCTGTATTCCTGAAGAATAGGTCACGTTTCCTCTTAAAGGACTCCTGAGGAGTCGTTCTTACTAGCTCAGCCGGCAGCGAATTTCAGAATTTGACAACTCTTACGGAGTGGAAGTTGTGTTCATAGTCCATCCTGCGTTGTTGTGTCTCTAGTTTCTGGGTGTTACCCCTTAAGTTTGTGTTGAGGCTAAACCTAAGTAGTTGTTGAAGGGAACCTGAGCTTTCAATTTTGCGGAAATTTATGGGATATTTTGGGGAAACTCCCGAAGTCAAATGACCTTCACCAACGTTTGAGGAAATTTTGGGGTTCGGTCCTCATTTCCCCAAAATTTAATAGAGCGGCTTCTCCAAAATTTCCCCATAATGTGCCAAGTTTTCCCCGAAATTCGCATCTTGGGAATATCCAGAAAATTCAAGGATACTGTTAGCCACTGGAAGATCGTCTGTAAGACGCCTATAATCCAATGAGAAAAGGTTTAGTAATTGCAAGAACCTCTCATAAGGCTTGGATTCGAGTTTCCGAAGTGATTTCTTGGCTCGCCGTTGGATACGCTCCAGAGTGTCCTTATCCCTTTGAAGTGAGAGAGAAAATGTTATGTTTCTGTATTCTAAATGGAGACGAATAAAACTGCTAAAATTTAAATGATGATAAAAACAATGAACTATATTGCAAGTAAATTTCTCACTGATAAAACATGGTAAAGACAAAGCATTTCGCTTTGTGACTGACAAAAGTATTGTTGAACTCATTGAACTTGCTTTATATATATTTACACGCTTACCATTCTTGATTTCACCATGATAATCACCCAAACGCTTGTGCCGAGATTATTCGCTCTCGTCGAACAATCACTTCGCTGAATTTTAGTCACTTTGAACATGTTGTACAGCAAATACACTCATATTTTATTTTTCAATGAAAACAGTTATTATGGACACGTACTTTCAGTTATAAAAGTATCAAAAACGGTACCGTACTAACTAATAAATAACACAGAAAGCTATATTATTTACCTCTAGTTGATGTTTCAGAGATCATTATTGTGAATGTAACTTGACAGATGCGACACAATGGTAGGAACCTGAACTCGGAATGTGTTATGACTATTCAATTAGGTTGCCTTTGATAGACCATTCAGTTAACGTTTGTGCCACATATTCAGCATCGTAACCAACTTTTAATAAAATCGCACCGGTAGACAACGATGTATGTTTCTTAATTGCTACCAATTTAATGGTTCGAAAGGTTCTATAGTATTTCGAGTTGCTAAGCCCAGCAGGCATGATTGAACTACCTAGGTTGCGAAAGATTTAACATTTAAACATGAATATCTGCTCATTAATGTAAGGAATCAGTTTATTTCATTCGGTTGTTGACGACTTACCTTCAGTCGCCTGGTCAAAAGCTGCTTTAAATAAACGTGGAAGTCAAGTTTGACAGACAGCTGAGTTTTGATTCAACAAGACTAATAAGCAAATCTATGTTTTACTTTGAACGTCTGAGAGTCGAAGCAACTAGTTATTAGTTAGTGAAGATATGAAAATTTCAAGACATATATGTCAGTAGAATATTTGAGAAAAGTAACATAATTGTTCATGGAATTTCGGTTTGAAAGACGGAATGATGTCAATATTTAACGATGATGTGTGCGGTAAAATGACAGTAAAACCATGCAACTTGAGAGCTAAAGAATTTCGGTTATGATTTTACTACAAAGTAAGCAAGCCTACTCTGTTAAAAAGTATGTTACATATTTTCCATTCAATAGTTAACATGCACATCCTTTTAAAGAAATCACCACTGTTTAGTTCTTGTCATAATTATTCAACGTACCATTATTTTTACTTCATTTGAAATTCACCTTTGCACGAAAGTTTGTTATGGCACTGTGGACTAACGTACACTTTGAAGGCTGAAATGTATATTAAAAGTAACTTAATTAAAATTGATCCGAATTATATTGACTTTGTTCCATCAAAAGAGACATATCGGACGAACTTGCACTTACATTTACCAGGTTTGTATGGTATAACGCTTTCCATCGAGTGAATCGGTTGGCCATAATCTATTTACATAATACTTAAATTGTTGCAAATAGTTGGCAGTATCTACTAAATTTTAAGTAGTCTAATACGGATATTTTGTTAAAGTGCAGTGCATCTTATAATGAAAGTCAAAGTTTAAGAATTTGACTTGTAGTGTTCAAGCCACACACACTGTTACATCGTATTTGTCAGCCACAATTTTTGAAGGACCATCAATTTTACATGAATCGACGTTTGAAAGTTAGGTGCTTTTTAAACTTGGTAGACGCACCAATCGCGTGAAGTATTCTTGATCTCTATTTTGACTATTTGCCAAAAACATTCTTATATTTTATGTGTTAGCAATCGATAGTTAATATATAGCAGTATATTCACTCATCGTGTAAAATAGATAACTTACATATTGACCTAGTCCAGTAACAGTGATCGTCACCAGACGTTGATGATATTTTGTGACACATATATATCATAGTAATACTTATCCTGGTCACCAAATTTTCATCGTATCAGTATGTAATAAAATTTCGGATACACTTTGAAGATGGTGAAATTTATTGAGGAATTAAATTTTTGAAGGTTACTTTGTGTTTAATAATACTAAAAAGCATAATGTTCACATGATTTATATGTTTATTTATTCAACTACAAGCGTACAAACAAGCCATCACTTGTAGGACAGTGGAAGATCAAAACATAGTGGCCAATACCTGTAAAGAAAACATTGTTTGTGTGTTATTTAATTAAAAACTTATAAAGCTGATATGAAACATTTGGATTTCTTAAAACCGATTATCATTATGATACTAAACATATGCCAAAGGTCCAACGTACGATACGTGTGATTTAATAAAATGACTTGATATGTAGTACTGTCTAAACGTTTTTTGATAAAGGTACATTTTACTTGGCTAAGTTCATAGAGCAAAAGCAAGGAAGAAGATGCAATAAAGCCTACCAAATTTAGAAAGCAAGATCATTTTACTGTTTGCTAACTCTCTAATTGAAATACCTACAATAGTTACTGTTTACGTACATAGGTTTTTTTCTGGAGCAGCTTTTTAGAACGGTGGAATCATAACTGATGTATACATGTGCCTTGTTTGCAAATAAGTCATCAACGACACCATTTACCTCAAAGAATTCTATATATGCCGTTAAACGACGACCGTTTGTTACGTTAGGTGAACAGCTTCACAAGTTTTGCCATACGAAACCAGAGTTAATTTGATTTTTATTGTTATTCAGTGTAGACTTCCCCACGATTTATTCAGTGCCAGTGTCAAAATTAAGTTTAATGGGAATTTTTGTCATTCTAAAACATTTATCACCACTAATATGTACGGTTAGATCAAGTTTCTTGCTAGCTCACAGTCACGCACGTTTGAGAACACCCGCATTCACTTATATATTAATGATGTAAATGAAAAGCATTATGATTCCATGTAATTACATGGATGTTGAGTCTTAATTCTTCCAGCTCACCATATTTTACCACTTTACCATTGACTGTTTAAAATAGCTATTTGTTCAAATTCATTATTACAAATTTGAGTACATTTGGTGTTATTTTGGGCGTTGATAGGAGAAAAAAAGCACAGTCTGTCAATCTGAGAAAACTACATTTTACCATTCTAGCATCTTGTAAAATCTACAAATATGTTTAAGTTAGGTAATATTGAAGTCAGGATGTAATTATATTTGATAGTCCGAATTTACCCAGTTTTTACAATCTTACATTCTGTTAGTTTTACTATTCATTTATTGCATTATGATTAACAGCCTTTGATATTTGTATAAAATAGTGTGCTATAATTTTTGTCTAGACCTAAACAGTATAAAAATCTCAACTCATTAAGAGACAAAGTTTTGATCATGTTTATATTCAATTATCATGTGCTTCAAGTTTATGCAGAACTATTAGCATAACATATAATGGTATTGATAATGCATTTTGAAGCTCCTTTTCATCATAATGGTTTAATGACTATTTATAGTTTTAAAAAAATCAAGATTTGCATTACTGATAATAACTATGTCAGTATGTTATATTATTTGGACTTTCGAATAAATGCAAAGGTAATACTGAACAGTCTCTTGAGGTAGATTACAATAATCTGACCTATTTTTACCTTAAAGTGACTTATTAAATACTTGTATATACTAGTTACTGCCCTAGAGTTTTACTATTGTGTGGTATTTAAATTACTATTACAAAAGCTTTAATTTATTGCAAGTAAATATAGTTGATAATATTTTCCGGAAGTTAAGAGGGGTTTTACATTTATTGAGAAAGTGGTTTTAAACCTAACTTTGTTTTGATTTCTATTTCATATTTAATAAAAAATCACCTTGGAATAATTATGTTAAGTTTTATGAAGTAATTAATGGATGTTATTATCACGAGTCAATAGTTTCTGTTACCTATATTATGTTTGACATAAATGTAGTAAGACAATTACACTAGCTATGTTTCCTGTTGTATGTAAGTTCATTGATGAAGACGCTCAGTTTTTTGATAATGAAAGAGTAAACAAACTTCATTTTCACTATCTTCACGATGAACATGAGGGAATAATGCAAAAAATATTATTAACAAATGAATTGGGTATATTTCGACATACATAGTAATTTTTTTCATAAGGAAAATCTTTTCAACTGAGTGACTCTCAGATAATTTTAAATGAATAATTATTAATTAATTAGTGACGGCTGAATTTTCTTGATTTGTTTGTAATGATATGTTAAGCGGTCAGCTAACGTACATCTATCAGCCAGTTGTTACCAAAATAACCCAGTGGCGACGTCACAAGCCATGTCATTGGGTGATGAGGTTTTGATTGCATGGTCAGCATCAGTTCTTCTAAGATATCAGATATTGCTTATTTATCAGTGCAAAGTATCACAAAACATAGACCTTGGGTTTTCTGATAGTCTTCCTCATCCACGTAACATAAGAACACAGTTCATACAATGTCGAGTCACTTATAATGGTGGTTAAATTACAACTTGACTAATCAAATTTGTCTGATGCCACGAAGTACCATTTCGACACTTTCTCTTTTTGGAGTTGTGTAAGTTTAAAAAGTGCAAATACTGGTGCTATGTCTGTAAAGTACTAATTTTTAAAATTATGTAATTCCGTTCTTTATTTTCTCAAACAAATCTTAAGTGTGATAGATAATAACCTATTTAATTCTATGTTCATTAAAAATTATTTGGGGAAAGAATATCATGTACCATTAGCAGTTAAATTAAGATTTTTAAGATACATATTCTTAATTAATGAAAACAGATATAAACGATTGTATCTACGTCATAATGGTATTTTAATTTTGTCTTAAAAATATTATTTGATGTTTTGAAGAAGCAAAGAACTTTAAATATCTGTTAAACTGAGTCGCCAAAAAATTTAAAATCAAAAAAACTCTATGAAACTAGGTGAATATGCTTTATTTACTTTTCACTTGTCATTCACAATTTTTAAATTGTTCAGGATTTTTAACCATCAAGTCAGAAAGTAAATTATTTACTGAGTTCAAATTTATAAAATCTTTAAACCAAGTAGCTTCGCTTCATAAAGGTACTCGGAATAATATAATTGGGACAGTTTTCCTTCTATTCATTGTGAAGATGATTTCTTGTTAATTTATTTTCCTTTCTATACTGAAAAAAAATCATTTTAGGGAGTTGAATGAAAATCCAAAGCATTACATAACAATTAAGGAAAATGAAATTATTCTAATAAATAATGGTGAAATCGGGTGTGCACTGGCTGCAGATCATCGAGTTCGAACAAGAGTATTTCCCTTAGATCATATATTTGGTTCAGTTGGCCAACGTAACCCGGATAATGATTCTCAGGCTTCAGTAAGTGGTGATGATTTCTTTTGGCAATAAATTTAAGAATTTCGAGAAGTTCAAAGCCCTTTAGTAGACTTGTAGCTATTTTTTGAAACAACTACAAATCTTGAAGTTCAAGAATTCCTAAAAACTTGTATTGAATTTTTAGATGATTTAGTAGATTATTTCATTGAATACACTATGGAATACACTTTAAATTAATTGAAAATAAACCCAACACAAGCATGAAGTGTACCTGTAATGTCTGGCAGCAGAAGATGAGGAAAGATCAAGAAAGCAAGAGCGGGAATAGAATGCAATTTGTATGAAAATGTAAGAACAATGAAGTCTGAAGCATTTTGAGACAATTGGTGGACATTTTGCAAATTAACAAATTAATATATGATTCTCAGACTTTATTGAGATGCTCTAACATTTTGTGTCAAATACATTTGATTGTCCCCACCCGTGTTCTGTTCACTACATACCTATTTCAGAAGGTTTACTTTTATGTTTATTGTAAGAAGCTTCTCGAAGATTTCACGTATTTCATTGAAATATCTTAAAGAAATAATCAAAAGCCTGAATCCTGATTGAAAATGCCAAAAAACAAAGTTGAATTAATCGGTAAATATTATTCAACTGCACTTCCCGCTATTCACTCTAGATTACGACGACTGATCAAGAACTAACAAAATACTTGAATAGAAAAAGCAGGACTTTGTACAAAACAATTGAGGACAAAAGATCATTAAGCGAATAGACTGATCATTCACACCGAATTTCATTTCATTATTCGGAACGACTGGAATATTTGGTTTTATGATATGCTCATCTTTGATTATTTATGCAAGATTTTCCGATGTTGTTTACAATTTGTAAATAGATTTACAACCATATAGGAAAACCTGCTGTGGACTCTGTGAAAGATGGTTACAATTGCAGTTTGTTTGCATATGGCATGACAGGAACTGGAAAAACCCATACGATATTTGGATCTGAGGTATGATTTTCCCTTATTGGAGAACTACTGATGACTTTAAAATCATAGTTAAAGAGTAAAATATGTACAATATAAAACTTTCTATAATATTTATACAAATGAAAAATAAACCGGATTCGTAACTTTTATTACAAATTCATATTTGCAGGAATTTCAGAGATCTTAGTGCTTAGGCATGTTCTTCACTGAAAGGATTAGATATCTAACTGCACAAGACTTGTATTTTATTTGATATCACTGACTAAGTAAACCTTTTAAAATTAGTTGATAATGTTAAAAATGAAATTTGTCTAGTTATTTTATTCATTGATCATATGTCTTCTTTACGGGCTGAAAATGCTGAAATTAAACTTTTCTATTATTTCTTGTTAGTTATATAGTAGTGGGTTAATTGCTTTGTGATTTTTTAGTTCCTTTCAGGTCCATACATTCCTTCATCAATGGTAAGTAAAGATCACTTGTTCGGTTTGTATGGACAGACTTCTGTTGCAACTAACAGTTAATGAGAGTGATCATGCTTCGTCTGTTCATTCTTGTTAACATAAATTTAGCCATAAATTTGTCTCATTCTTCTGCTGATATACGAAACTTTAAGAAAATCAAAAGATAGTTTATGATAGTATAAACTTCACAAAATGACAATTCAGCCTTTAATTTTGAAAAAGAAATATATGGACATTAACACATGAACCATTGTATTATAAAATACATAATATACGCGCCATGGTAATTCAATTAGAAAAATGAATTCATTATTTCTCGTGAAACTTATATTCTGGACATTGAACAAAGCTTTATTCATTATAGTTTAAAAAAATACTAAAATGCAACCTCTGTTGGCTATTAAAATTCAGGTAATAAATGCTTTGGTTTAATCCAGCTGAGTAAAACGTATATACCTTAGGAAGTCAAAAAGTACTGTAGTAAATTTTCAAAATGTCGTTTACCTTTAAGATAGAAATGAAGCGTTTTGGTTGATAGGTTGATTGCACGTTCACTTTTTACTGTAATTAGATTTTTATATATTACTTGATTTGTCAATTGTAAAATGTTAAAACTTAAAATATGATTAAAATGTGTATTAAACATTCCACTGTATAAGAAATCTTTATATCATCTTTTAAAGCTTTTCTAATACACTTGACAGTTTACAAAATCTAAGGTATTATTTCTGCAGCTTTCTAAATTGGTTTATCTATTAAAACAGAATCGAAGCTGGTAGATTTGAAAATTTCAAATTGAGCTTTATACATATTGCATTGTACAATTGACTTATTACACCTGGTTATCTCAGCTTGACAAAATGAACTCAAGGAGTGATTGGATTCAGAAATCTTATAAGTAAATGCAGTAAAACCTGTCAGATTTTGCGCAGTTAGGCTGAAGTAGAGTGGTAGCAGAAATTACTGTTAATTCCACCTCAGATAATTGTTCGCCAAATGTATATACGGAACTTCGTGGATCCTAATGGATTTATTTTCATTGACTATGCTATAATTTGCGAAGTTTTTCAAGTTTGAATGACCCATCATATGACAAATCAGTTGACTGAAGGATGTACCATCTTCATATTGAATGAAGTAATCAGTATTCCCGCATCCTGGAAAGTGGGAGACGGTAAATATCCGGATAATATACTTGTGTCCTAGACTACCATCATTCTGGTTTTTATGGGTTCCCTGCTTTCATAAAGTTTACATTATTATTATCACCATTTTTATTCATAAGTTTTGCTTATTGAAGTTTGGGTCAAATTGAAGTCCATGAGACATTTATTGGTTAGGACGGTATTACAAAGTTGGCGGCCGGACCAAAACATGGCACAAGTCCATGAAGTCACTGACAAGTGGACTGAGTCATGTTGGTAGGTGTAGACTACCTATTTGGGGACCGCGAGACGATAGCAACCGATGGTTAGAGACCCTGAATGACATGGCTCAAAATCGTTTGCAATGGCGCAGGTGCATACACTCTTTGTGTTCTCCCAAATTCTAATCTCCTGATTCCTCCTTGTCTCTTTTTTTCTCTTTCCAAATTTATTTCACTGATTATACTCTTTAAATAATATCTTCAAACCTTATTCTTCCCGATTACTGCTTATACTCTTACTCTTACCTCTACCACTGTGGGATTTGAATCGACAACTGCATATCTGTGCTAATGCGGTGTGGCAACTCGAACTGATGTGCGTACGTACGAAGTTCTACGTTGTTAATGAGTGACTGCTTTCTAGCATTAACTACTTGTCCAATGGTAGTAAACTGTTAGACTGCCGAAACGTGACAGTAAAACTGGCTTGTTACCGATTGTTGCAAAGGTATTTTGTCTAGTATTAATTGTTACGGTTAGCAATCAGGGTGTCGAAATGATAAGTTTTACAGTTTAATGAAAGGTTCTGATTTCTCGAAAAATTTTCCGTTAAAATTGTAGTCATCTTAAGCAGGTGACCATCAGTAAAAATCTATCAGTTTAATCAAGTGCTACACAAACTGATGAATTTTTGCCAAAATTTCTTCAATCCAAATTGATTGAATGGAAATGACTGACTTATTCGTTAAATAATGGACAAACTTTAACGGATTACTTACCTACCATTCTGTTGGTATGACATTTCATTTACCACTCTGACTAAAGCAAGGTTTCCTGTCAAATTAGTCAATTACAATTCTCCTATTTGTAATAATTGACCAGAATTCTAATTTAACGCAGTAGGTTTATATTGTAAAAGTAATTACAGCATTGCATGTTCATCCTTAAGATTCTAATGTACACTGGAGAACTTTTAAATGTTACATATGATTAGAAACTAATAAACCATTAAAGAAGCAGTGATAAGGAGATTTTTGCTGAAACTTCAGACCCATTAGTTATTCAGAGATTATTTAATTCAACCAAACGTATTTTAAATGTTATACCACTTCAAAACAAAGTGAATATGTCGAAAAATCAACGGAAATGTGTTTTTTTAGTTAATTCAGATCAGGTGCTATACTGAGACACTCAAATCAGTAATTTGAAGAATAGTTAAAATATATTTGATTAGGTTTAATAATATCGGCTTTCTACAATATAGACAGTTATGGGCTTAGTAGTGAGAACACATATCCGATACAAGATAAGTTGACATCTAATGTCATATAAAAAGTGAAAAATACTCGTCAACTATTAATACTTTTTAACTGATTTCATTAAGCTAAAATTTATTATGAATTATATGTCAACTACTAGTATTTTTTAAATAATTCTTGACAAGCGTATCGGTTATTTGGTTGACTTCAGCACATTTAACAACTATAATTTGTAGCTCAGGAAATTGAAATCTACACGGAAGTTACTAGTGATAGAGCATTGAATGATAAATTACTCAGCATCGATAATTTTGCCCCGGAAATCAACATTACTAACAAAAAACGTTTGAAGTCCTTCAATTCTAAAATAAAGTACTCAATAAAATGTAAAAGTTGATGTACGATGACATGGATTTTACTGGACTTTTATTATAATAGATCGTCAACTACCATTTAGCCTGTCCTGTTTTTTAAATAGGAAGTTAGAAAACTCCCGAAAATTCTCAAAAAGTAGCGTGACTGATAACTTATTATTTGTGACTGAATATAAGTAAAATATCCACTTATTCTTTTCTGATGGTTGATATATTCTTCGATACGTTATTTAAAGTTCTCTACAAAAGAAACCCCAGTAAATAAACATATAAGCTCTGGGGAAACCTGAAGTCCTTTAAAAAAACATTTCAGAATAAGTTCTGGCCCAAAGGTCTTATGGTAAGAAATTCGTACACAGGACCGAAGTCCCTGAGTTCGATCCACAATGGATTTATTGGTGGGCACTTCCGAGGAGTCTTGTACTAAAACACAACAGCTGTCGAGTTTTTGGTTTCCATTGGATATTTAACTTAAGTTAGTGTATAATATCAATAGTTTTTTAGAGTGTTGTTCTTTTAGCAGCAACAGTAGTTGAGAAGAATATCTCATATATAACAATTTTTAGCTCTCAGTAAAAGCATGGTTTGTTGAAATTTTAAACCTAAATAAACTACTTTTGGCGTTTTTTAATGAATAATAAGAAAGCAAAACTTTGTATATACACCGATTTAAATATAAAACGTATATATATATATATATATATATATATATATATATATATATATTGAGGCAGTTAATGACCCGAAGTTATTTTGACATTTTGTCACCATGATTGATGCTTAGAGTATTTGGAGTTTACTTTTAAGGAATCCAACTGAAACCTTAATTTATTATCAAACTAAAGTACTAAAATATATCCAGCTTAATTCGTATATAAATAAAATGTCACCTGTCTCTTATCGGCCGCTTAGTTTAGTGCACTGTTACTTTGTATTAGACTAGACTTCCAGTGACAAAAATATCCGATATTACATTGAGCGTCGTGTTCAGTAAAAATGAACGTGGTTATATAAACCTTCTCACTCAGACCTCTGTCAAACAAGAAGATTTTTAAACCTTATTTTCGCTCCACTTTGCAGAATAAGCAAAAAATGGCCATGATGATGTAACGTTTATTTGAAATGTTTGACTCAAGTTGGAACAAGAATACAAAACGCTTTAAATCATCGTTTTTATTTATTAAATTATATCTTTCCGAATCATTGACGTAGTAGTAACAACGAATTAGCATAATTGATAGCGTGATTTTGCCGAAATTTGAAGTTTCCGTGTTTCATTCTGTGTTGTTGTGAGAATAGGTATTTTTAAGAAATATAAATTTAGAGTGCAACGATTATCGACATCTTCATGGTGTTTTTAGTCTTTTAACTTAAGAAACATTTAATTTAAGTAACCAACTTTTGAAGCATAGTATTTTTATTTCCGCAAGCTTAAATAAATCGCTCCAGAATTTTATAAACTGAAACATATAACATATAACTATACGTTCTCTCATTTTTATATTATCTTTGAAGCGTAAATGAAAGATATTTAGAATGATTTATCATTTCATTTAACCAAATTACCCGGAAAATCAATGACGGGTAATTATTTTCCTCTATTCTTTTATCAATTTCAGGATGATCCAGGATTAATACCAAGAATATGTGAAGTAAGTTTACAACATACAATACGTTTGACACCCATTACATCTACTCTATTTTCGAAAGACATTTGTATATATGTCATATATTTCTGTAGCTCTCTGATTGTCTCATTCAAATTGTTTCAGAGATGCTTCACAATAATTAGTTGGGAACGCTGAATAGTTTATATTTTAAAAAGTGTGCTCGTGACTTCAGTTCCATTTCATTAGTTACATTAAAAAAAGCTGAACTAGGAAATTAGAAATGGAGGGAATAAATTACTAAATGTAATACAGAATGTTATTTTAATAGACATCATACTTTTTGTTCAAGATGAATACATTTTCTAACTGTAAACTAATTGGTTGGAAGCTAGTGTTTGTAGAATGCAAATATATTTAGGTCTGAAATAGTTATTTGTATATGAGTTCGTGAACTCTCAACTGTTAACAAATTATATTTCTATGACATAACTATAGTTTGAAGATTTAATAAATTGGTTCCATGACTGATAATGATTATCATGATTAACCAAATGAATTATGTTATCTTGCTTTATTTTTCAAAACAACATGAAAGGCTTTGCTGAATCATATAAAAGTGAATCAAAATGTACATAGAAAATACGAATTAAAAATAAGGTAAGAATTATATAATAAATCTGATTATTTACTGAACAACTTACATACCTACGCTTTCTGTGTATATATTAGTGCCTTGACTAAAAAATTCAGTAAAACTGTATTTATGATTTCATAAAGAAGGCAGTAAATAAGTGTATAGCAATAATTAATGAAGACTAGAATTGTTGTAATTTATTAAAAATGCTATGGTAGCAGTTAGTAGACAAAACAATGTCGAATAAGTTTTACATTTGACTGTGAAAAGATCGCTTTCAGTGGTTTATTCGGACTTACAAGCAAGAAGTTAGGTTATTTAACACAGTTTGATGGGATTTATAGTGTAGCTTAGTTACATCAAAATTTTATACTAAAATAATGTCAGTAAAAGTAACGTGATAAAAAGTTATCATATAGTAGAACCTTTTAAATACATTCTATGGTCAAATATGTAGAAGTGACTACACAATATCAAGTACTTCGAGGGTATTTATAATTAACTAGATGCATGAAAGTTCTTCCTTTGAAATTTTTGGTCCTGGTCAATATCATTTTCTAAATATATTTAAAGCACTAAAGATGCATTACGTATGCAGTAGAATTAAATGTTGTTATGATTTCCTTTGATCGATTGTACTATCATACTTAACCTGCAGATTTGATTCACCATATGAAATATCACATATCTAGAATACGTGTTTAGCTATTTTATTGTATAAATCTACTAGATCAAAGTTATTTCAGTATTAGACATAGGTAAAAACAAACATTTTCAAGCTTAAAAAACTGAATTAAATGAAAACAAAATAATAGAAAATAAAAATTGTGAATACAGCTGTGTTTTAATGCCACTAAAACATTTCTTTTAACTTTTAATCCCACAACACCGCAATAAACATGGAAACAGGTTGATTTCCGTTTACTTGTATAGAAAGTTAGTGTGACAAAATAAAGCTTACCTAGTAATGAATTGTTTCTCTAAAAAATGTCATGATTATATTGGTTTCTCTTGGTGTTGGATGACTAAACGTTCTCTCATTAGGTATGATTAGAATTAAACTACGGTATGTTACTGCCGAAAATGTGAGAGATTTGAGAATATTCTAAAAAGTAACTTCAAATAATTTCTTGACTCCTCGAACAAACAAAATGAGGTTAGATCACAGTGATGGAAGGTGTTCACTAGGCAGGGAAATATTTCAATAAACTTGACTGCTTTTGCGTGTAGTGGATTTATGTACTCTTGTGAACACAATTTCTGTCTAAATCAAGCTTATGATTGACTACCAAGCACAAATCGGTATGAATTTTCAAACAATGGTAATTTAAATGGGTGGTGAATCATTTAGATTGGAAGATCAGGATTACAACATCTTATTACTGGTTTGTAAATAAGGTTTTAGCTGAAAAACACTGAATTAATGTAAGGCACTAAGAAAATTGCTCAGGAGCAGATTAGAACATTATTTCATTGTATATCCATTTTTTAATTCAATTGATTCACGTATATTGTTTATGGTAGAAAAGATGATGTACCAATTTTCGATTTTCTTTTGTTAAGTCGATAAATGTACCCTGATTTTTTTCTTGAATAAATAATAAAACTTTAGACTGACCTGAAAATAAGAAAAGGATGTTCTTTTCCGATCAAAATGAACTTTTTTTTAAGTCCGAGTTAATTTGGTGACTTGCTAGTACTCTTAAAATTTCACTTAGTTAATAAATAAATATTTTTAGTTTATAATTCAAAGTTGAGTTTAAGATAACTAAGTTTACGAATAGTCGCGCATTATTACTAAAACTCTGGATAGATATTGAAATGCACCATTATACCACCAGAATCGTGAAGCGCAAAATGCTAGGTAAAGTAAAACTAGGCAAAACAAAGGCATTTATTTTTAATTATTTTTTCCTGTAAGCCACTAATATGCTTTTAACTAGTTTACGATTTACGAATTTTATGATTGAACCCTGATTTACTACTAGACAAATTTATGTGAACTGGTTAAGGTTCTCCTGTTATGTAGCTTATTGTTATTTGTATTAGTTTTGTGACTTCTGATTCAGCAAATCTCTGAATTGAGATCAAATGTAATATGGTCTTTCTTAACATTAACTTTAGTTTCTCAGAGTCACGCAATAAAAACGATGAGTTGGACTGTAGACAGTCGGGAACAGGTCATATTGAACTGTTTAATAACCTGCTAATAGTATATATTTAACGTGGACTTAAAGCATAAACTGAAATTTGTTTTTTCTATTGTATCGACAAATATTTGAGTGACAAAAATTCAGGTTACTATCAAGTTGTTTTCCAGAAATTGGTTAGTCGTAACCTCAGTCACAGTTTTATGTTAGGCAGTGGTGGTCACTTGTTGCTTAAATTTCCGTTTTATTTAAGTAATTAATGAAGTAACCTGTATCTTTCACTCAAATATATCTTAAAACAGTTTATGAATATTTGCAATTTTTCAACTAATCATAATGAATGACAATTATTTACTCTGTGGTCAGGGTCTATATGACATGGTCGAAAATAATCTGAGCCTAATAGTTCTCACAAAACTGAACAAGAAACTTTACTACTAATGGTTAATTTAATATAAAAGGACAAATGTTATGTAAATGAAATATTATTTCAATGTATACCGCTCATAAATGCTGTTTATTCATCCTATTCAAAATAGCACATAACCAATTAAGCTTTATAAGTGTTTTACATTTTTAAAACTGTTCTGTATGCTGCGATTAAGCTTTCTATGTCTACTAGGTAAGCCTATTTACTCACATATTTATTCGCAGTAAACCAATATTCTTTCCAAGAACTTACTCTAGGTAATTTCATCAAAAATAATAGATCTTCTTTGTCATTGTTCGTTGCTTTTAGAAAATGTCTTGAAAGTTTTGTTAGAATCCTAGCTGAAACAAATTATAGGATGAGACTATATTAAATACAAGTACTGATAGATGGCATTTTTGAAAATTTTCTGCAAGGCTTTTCAATGAATCGCACTTAAGGAAAAATACGATGATCAGTGACCTCCAGCAGTTGAAAGATTTTCTTATCAACTCTTAAGTGAATATAACTGGTAGATATCAGATTTATAAAATAAAAACTATACATTTAGGAATAAATAGTTGAAGGTGGGGTACAATTTAGGAACTATAAATTTTCAGACTTATAAACAAGGTGACGTAAGTGGCCAATTTACGCATGAATAATTTTTTTTCTCAAATCTGACTAATTATGTTACCAAAGTTTAATATCGGTTTATTCATTTAGCTGTCACCAGTAGAACTATTATTCTTTGAAGGATCAAATATTGTAAAACAAAACTCTCTTTTAGTTTAGGTTTCTTGTTATCAGTTGAACATCAGACAGAATTTGTTTTTAAAGTTTTGATTTGATTATACTTTGATGTAAATACGACATAAATTTACAAGTAATCTAATAACAAAAGAACGAGTTACATATATATATGTCATAAATAAATCATTTTTTTCATATGGGAGACGATTATTCAAGGGGAAATTAGTTTGATATAAGGGTAAATCTGAAGGTTTCTGTGCTTAAATATTCTGAATCAGTTACGAGACCAAAATTCAGACCAGGTCTCAGACATGCATTCAGCGTTATATTAAGCGACCATGAAATTTAGATGTCAAATGAAGTTTCCTGTATTAATTTCTTGAACAGATTTTATCTCAATTCAAAGGTTTGTAAACTGAACACTATCGAGACGATTAGGATTTAAGAAACCATCCTTAATGTTCAAATGAGTGAAAATATAAGGCCTATAATATTTCTGCGTAAAGAAGAACACAGCAATGCAGAATAATACACACTATAAACATACTGCTAACTGTTCCTAATAAATGTTTGAAACAAGCACAATGGAAACAAATGAATGAAGATTCTACTCAGATTTCATGCGATTTGAAGAGAACAAGTGCAGTCGGTTGATAGTTTTTGTTACCGAAAGCTGGCAAAACTGTTGGTAAAAGCTGGGAAGTGATGTCTGTTACCTTATTATCTAGATTTCATCACGAAAGTATGTTTTACTGGTTCCGTTGCGCTATTACATTCTTGTTAATCCTTCTCAATCTGTTAACGATTATGCTAAAAATGTGATTAATAAATAATTAAAACTATGTATAGTCATATTATGTTGATCGTATAATCTCCCATTATTGTCTATTTTGTTGTATACAGTCTGTCAGAGAAGAATATTTCATTTCTGAAATTCGATTTCTCATTTTATTTAATTCGAGTATTTATCTCTATACAGAATCATTTATGCATTTGGACTGTGTGATTTTCTTATAATAGCTTAGATTTTGCGAATAGACAATAGGAAATTCATCATTGGATAGAACGTTTTCCGTTGCTAAGATAAACCTAAGTATGTTGTTGTTTTCATAGAAATTATCGTTTTTTGTTACCTTCGCTATGTAACATGTTGCAAATCAAAACTGCAAAAAATGCAAATTTATTCATTGAGGAAAACATGTTATCGAACAATTGATTTGTGAAAACATTTAACACTTGATATAGCTTTTTAATGTAAAAATTGTTATCTTAAAATAACTAACCGAGTAATTTATGATTTGGGTCAAATAACCGTGATGTAAATGATAACAATTGTGAAGACCAGTCTCAATGTAGATGAGCAACAAAATATTAATTTTTGTCTATAATGTCTTATATTTATTTGTACTCGTTTTCGTTTGTCTAAACAGTTCAGTAGTAAAATATTCGAAAATGGACTTTATCGTCAGTCACTCGTATTTTTCAAATTTTAAGTAAAATGTGTTCGTTGTATGACTTTTTCTGTCCTGTAATTTTTCTTCCATCATGACTGATTGCACTTCACTAAACACGCCCGTACCATAATAAAGGAGCATTTCTGCCAAAGAAAACTAAATTTTTCATGTGACAGTCAAAACGACAAAAACGAAACGTCCTCCATCTTGTATAACGATAGTGTAAGTAATAGTTTCCACATCATTTTGCTTGGTTG